GAGTAAGCACAGGGAAGAGCAGAAGCTCAATAAAGCGTGGTTATCAAGAATTCAGAGAAGCTTGAAAAGCTGCAAAAATCCAGGGAACATCCATGCCAACGCATGCATTAATTTTGTAAAAAAATACCCAATTCATTACTTTTAAGTGGCATCTTTACAATTTATTGAGATACACTTCCAGCTGTGCTTATTGTATAAATGCTTCCACCAAAATCCTATAATTTTTGGAAATCTTTTGTTTTGACTCTTTTCAAATTAAATGAGAAATCATTTAAACCATCCTCTGGTATTTATCTTTTCCGCCAGGAATTTTCCAACATTTAATGGCCCAAAAATTATTAAATCTGACATTTAAATTATTAATCTTAGGAGGGCAATTCCTCTACAGTTCATTCATTCGCATCGAGGATAAACTGTTACAGTGGGCCAAACCCGCCAACAGTTTGCTTCTAAGCAACTATCGAAAAAAGGAGCTTTGCCAGCAGATGTTTGCCATTGGCATTTGCTACTATTCGGACTACCTCCTGAGCACTTCTGCCATTCTGATAGTGAGCAATTATGGAGGGGTTTTTGGCTTTTGCTTAAAGCTCAAAAGTACTTGCCGATAATGTGTTGCTATGTTTTAGACTGAAGAAGTTCTCGTCGGAAAAATTAATGTACCGACCAATATAGAATTTTTCTGTCAGTTATCCCTAGCTAGGTAATGATCAAGTTTTTTGTCTCGAATCCTAGCCAGTGATATCAACGCATTTGCCAAAAGTCATAAAACCCCCTCTGTATTTACTGTTTATAACGTACTCATAGTCCGAGCGGTACCAAACGCCAACAGCTATCACCAGCTGACAAGGCTGTCGAGGACCCCTTCTTTCGGAGGTTATTTTGAGGCAGTTTAACGGCCAAGCTAACTTTCAGTCATATGTCAGTTCAGTTTTACTTTCGAAATGAATGAACGAATTGCTGAGGTACATCACTAGTAAAGTTTAATCCTCGGGCTTTCCGCTCAAGAGTAATACCTCTGCGCTAGCCAATTTGGTTGTGCTTTTTAATTTATCTTATGAATTTTGAAACAGAGGTAGTTGAGGAAAAGAAGCAGTTTTTGGAGCGAAAAGATAATGTGCTCGCATAGTAGGTATGTTAAATCAGGTGCTAAAGACAAAAATTTTCAATTCTTTGCCCAGTAGTAGCAAAAACTCGTCTACTGCGGAACAACACGTTTACTATTAACTTTATGAAAATGGTTTTTAAGGATTTAAGGGGCTTATAAATTTTTGACCATTTGCATCCGCAAAAACCACTGAGCTGGTAGATTATTTTAAGAGACGAAACGAATGCCAGGACCGTCAACAGGCTGGCCAGAAAAGAATGCAGTACTGGTCAGAGCAACTGGACAAATTGCCAGCTGCATGGCTAGAGAACCAAACTGATTCAAATGCTGTGAGTTTTCTAAAAACAAGAAATTTTTCGGCTTCAAAAAAAGTTACCCTTTTAGGATCATATTTTTTGTCCATTTTGAATAAGTATTTCACGATGCCGACAAGAAGCACGATAAGTGGCATCAAACAAACTGATATTAGAGCGGATGCTAGCCATATACCGTGAAGCGGTCGACCAATCTGACCACAGAATATCGTTCCAACAGATTGCCAAGTTTCGTATACCGGGCGGCACATAAATGAGTCAGCAAGTAATTCATTCTAAAAAACCAAAAATTTTTTTAAAATTGCAGTTAAAAAGCGTTTTTATATGGAAGGGTGACATTTACCGGAGGTAGAGGAGGTTACTCGAGATAAAGGAGGTTCATTTCATTCAGCTCTCAGAGGTTTGTTAGTTACGCAAGTTGCGCAAGGATTCCATTCAAAAACTCGCAAAAACAGTGACTTGTGTTTATTGTTCTTCACGAGATTGCTGATTTAATTCTGCACGACCTTACTCCTCACAGGCTGGAAATCTGTAAATGATCCTAATTCTTGGTTTGGTTAAGTTACTTATGTTATACCAGAAAGTGAGCAGGCTGATCTTATTCAAGACAGACTGTGAACTAGATAGGCAACAAAATAACCAGCGGGCTAAACCAACGGATGATGCTTTTACTAGATTCGAGGAGTGCCGCCGTTTTCAAGCAGAAAGACGAGAGCTCAACTCCACCACTAAGAAAGTCAGTCCCTCCACGAATCGTCCATTACTTTCAGCTGTATATTATTGGCTGCGGAGCTTGTTTGTATGAAATCCCTAAGAGGATGAGCCCTCGACAGCCCTGCCGGCGAGTGGCTGCTGTTGGCACTTGCTATTGCTCAGATTACTTACTGACAGCTTCAGCCTCTTAGAGAGCAAGTACGAATTGAGCTTTGAACTTGATTACTGTGTTCGGCATCCAGTATCAGATACGGCACAACGGTGTTGCGAGCTTTAATGTATGCGCTTGGATCAGTAAAATCTGACACCAACTAGCCCAATATGGGAAGCCTAGCATGGCTAATTTCTGAAGCTCTTTTATGATCGCGCCCGTACTGAGAGTCCTGAAACTCTCGGTACTTTCCGTCAGTAGTGATTAAGAATTATTCTACGTGAACAAATTCAAGTACCTTAGCGTCATCTAAATAAACAGTGACATTAGAAATCGTTTCATCAAATAAATTCTCCAGAATTCGCGCTCCTTCATCCGTAATGTTTTTCGATTTCAGCATTTTGAAAACGTTTTGCTTGATATTATCAATCGTTGAACTGAAATAATTAGTTCAGTGAAACGAATTAAATAAAAAAATCACAGAATAATTCTATTTCATCACTGTCGAGTACTTCTCCACGCCTAGAGAAGCCCTTCAACAAAAGCATTACCGTATAATAAACTTTTAAACGAAAAATTTCTATTATTACCATTATTATAATT